CCGGCAGGAGACTGAGGGGCTGGGCAGTGGTGGGGAAGCCGTGCCCCAGCCTGCCCAGTCCACACAGGTCACCCAGTGCTGTCACCACTGCCCAAGGGGCATCAAGATTGGCTTTATTTTCTGTAGATCATCACATCCTTGAATTTTTCCCTCAGGTGTATTTGAAGATGGAGGCTTTCCCTAGACCTCTGGCTCATGCTGTGGGTCAGGTGCTGGAGCAGGTGTGAGTAGGAAGGGTGGTCCTCACTCCATCACTCTAGGGAAGTGATGTGGGACCTGGAGGTATTGGCTCCGTACAGCAGCCAGGGACCTGCTCACTCCCTTAATTGCTGGCACGAGCCCTGTACCAGAGCAGAGGCCTCATTTGGCTGGAAGCTCATCCACCTCATCCATCCCCACCAACCTGAGACTGGATGAGTCCCCCTCGGCCTTTGCTTCGCAGGAGGAGCGTGCCTGGATCGCACAGGAGAGCTTTGCGTTGTGGTGTAGCTGTTGGTGAGGTGCTCCTGCTGCCTGTGTGTCCCTGAGCATCACTGCGCAGATGGGGAAAGCGACTCTGGGGGGGGGGGGGGGGGAGGGAGCCCCCAGTCCCGGATGCAAGGAGGGACCGTGTCCTGGGGCAAGGTGAGGGTCTGCCATGGCTGGGAGAGCAGAGGGGCATGGGAAGGGGCTCAGCGTCTCTACATGAGCTAAATGCTCCCACCCTGGAGCAGACCAGCTCGGGAGAGCCCCTGGGACTTGCTGAGGGTGGGACCTTGTCTGAGCCCACCCTGCTTTCCTGTCCCCCCTCCCCAGAGCCCCAGATCACCTCTCCTCCCTACGACACGTGGAACATCACTGGGCAGGATGTTATCTTTGGCTGCGAGGTCTTTGCCTACCCCATGGCATCCATCGAGTGGAGGAAGGACGGCATGGAGATGCTGCTGCCTGGAGATGACCCTCACATCTCTGTCCAGGTGAGTGGTGTGCCTAGGGCATTGGACACGGCCCCGGGGTGACCCAGCCCTTCCCAGAGCTCATGGGCAACAAGACCCAAGGGTGGTCATCCTCTGGGGGTGGCCAAGCCTGGGCATCTGGGGGTGAAAAGGAGTGACTGGAGCCTGCACACTGTGAGGACTGGCTGAGCCAGAGCTGGTGTCTTGGTGGTAGGAGCCGTCAGCCTAACTCTGTCCTGCAATTTCCTCTAGTAGTTTTTGAACTTAGGAGTATTTTGTAGGACCTGTAGAGTCCTGCAGCAGGGAGTTGCCCACCTCCTTACCTTTAGTTTGCTCTGCCTGCTGGCTTTGCTCGCAGCCCCACCGACAGGGCTGGAGGAGAGGACCTCCCGAGGCCACTTCCAGCCTGGGTTATCCTCTGGTCCCACCGGCAGACACACAGTCTTTGCCCTTTTCTGCCTGTCACTCCAAGCAGGACTCTCCTCCCAGCGCTGGCAGGTCCAGGGGTCAGCATCCTGCCCGCAGACGGCCCTAAATATAGTGGGGCTTACCCAGCTGTTAGAGGGTGTGGGCAGAGGCTCGGGGCCATGCGCTGCAGCCAGGCATCGGCGGGGAGGAAACTGCGGTGGGAGGGGTGGGGGGAGCCAAGGGGACAGGTGGGACCCGGCACCGTCGCAGGGTGATGTACTGGCCCCCCTCCATCCTTCTGACCTTCCCACCACCCCATAGCCTGTCACAGGATCCAGCCAAGGACCTTCACCCCAAGCAAGGCTACCCTGCCAGGCTGGAGGACGCTTGCCTGTCCTCCGCCCCTGGCCACCGCACTGTAATAGCAGCCTGCAAACACAGCTGCAGCCCAGCTGCCTCAGGAAAATGCTATTTCTTGCTGAGGACAAATAGAAAATAGCATGGTTGGTGCCAGACCAGTCCTGGGACCTCACTGGCTGCCAAAACAAAGGATGTGGGGCTCCTCAGAGCCATCCTGGGATGGATATGCCCCCGACGGAGTGTACAGCGTCCCGGTCCCCGTCCTCCTGTGCTGCCAGTCTGCCTGTGCAGCTTGGCTGCTTCTCCAGCTCTGCCTCGTCCCATCCTCAGCTGCACTGCTCCCCAGCATGACCCTGAACCCCCAGACCACCCCAGCTGTTTGTCCGCAGCACAGATGCCCCCTTGCTTCAGCCACCCTGGAGAGCACTGACCCTGGCATCCTCCCCCCCATGGCACTGGGGGCACAGCTGGGAGTCCAGGGCACGTCTGCAGGGTCCTACGCAAACCAGGGCTCCCAGACCCTCCCACGAGCAAGAAGATACCCATTGCCCCCACCTCCCCTAGGTAGTGGGAAAAGAGGGGACCTGCATCCAGGGGGTCTGTGCCTGCCCCCAGAGTGGTACTTAGGTGGGGGCCAAAGAGTTTCCCTGGGCTTGTATCGCCCTTCCCATCCATCCTAGCCCCACTTGGGGCTTTCCCGGCCCCGGGGCTAACCAACATCCCCTCCTCTGCAGTTCAGAGGCGGCCCCCAGAAATACGAAGTGACAGGCTGGCTCCAGATCCAGGGTGTGCGGGTGACGGATGAAGGCACCTACCGCTGCTTCGCCAGGAACAGGGTCGGGGAGGTGGTGGCATTAGCCAGCCTGACTGTCTTCACACCGGGTGAGCACCATATCCTTGTCCCCACGCTTTCATGAGGTCGAGGGAGGAGATGTCTGGGCAGGGTGCGCTGGTGCGGTGGGAGCTGCCTGTGCATGGGGCTGTGCTGGGGATGCCCCAGCAAGCTGCCGTGCATGATTTGGCTTTGGTCCTGGTGGGGGTGGGGGCAGGCACTGAGGGAGGCAATGTCACATCATTCCTGTGCTACCGTTACAGACCAGCTCAACCTGACGGGCTTTTCCCTGCCAAAGCCCCCCACGACACCCGAGGACTATGGGGAGAGTGAGGAGGACTATTACTAGCCTGGAGACGGGCTGTCCAGCTGCAGAGATCGCCTTGCCCATGGTGGCGATTCCCGGGGTTGGGGACATCTCTGGAGCAAGCACCCCCCAGCCCAAAATTCCTGCTTTGAACAGTCCTGGCACAACAGCCTCTTTTTTGGGTGTGGGGGACAGGGTGACACATCCCGTGCTGGGGGTGCTCGGGGAGGGGTTGGTGGCTGGTTGGTGGTGCAGGGCTGCAACTGGGGGTGGCTCTGCCTGGGGCAGGGGGAGTCTGTCCTCCGGCGGTGAGCGGGGATGTGGTGGCAGGTGGGACACTGCAGTGACAGCCACGCTGTGTTTGATGAGGACTTGGTGCTGGGAGTGGAGGCAGTTGCCCCCGGGAGAGGGAGACCAGGACAGGGGCATCTCAGCCCTGTGGATAGCATTTTGGGGAAGCTGGAGCGGAGGGCTGGGACCTGGCTGTGACACCCCATGTGTCACCCCCAGGGCCAATCTTTGTCCCCCAGGGCAGGGACTGCCAGGCTTCTCCCCAGGACCTGGGGAACTTGCTGCCGAAACATGCTTCTTTCCCGTTTTGTTTTTAACCAGTAAAGTAGTGATTTGAGGAAACCAGACACTTGTGGTTTTCAGTGCTATGTTTACTCCCCTGGACAACGCTGGCCCAGCCACCTGTGTGTTCAGAAACACGTTGGCCTCTTTTAACCAACTTTGGTGTTTTCCCTTCCAAGCAGCTCTTTACTTTGTCATTTCAGTTAATTTTAGTTAAAACACACGCATAGGTCAAAGCTGGCACAGACCAGGCAGTGGTCCTCTATCCACAGGGATTATTCTGGGGGTGAGGGAGGGTGCAAACACTGTGGATGGTACCTTGTCTGTTGTGGGGGTGTTTGGGTGGAGGAGCCCTCCTGCCCATCCTGGTCCTGACAGCTGGTCCTGGCATGGGTCCTGCCCCTCTCATCCCATGTGGGGCTGGGGGTCCCCAGCAGACCATCCCTAGTCCGGTGGGGATGTGTCAGGCTGGCTGTTTGCACCCGCATCGGTTCGGATCACATCCCACCTCTGCCCATCCTCATCCCGGGGTTCTGTGCCCCATTGGCACCAGGGTCTCCATCCAGGTGACCACAGCTGTGCCAGCATGGAGGGCACAGAACAGCTCTGTGCCTGGCTGGGAAAGGGCAGGGAGGCTCCCGTTTCTGCTGGAAATGCTCCGTTTTTAAAGAAAACCCACTGCCTCCCAGAGCTGGTGATTTAGAGCAAATTGTTGTTTTTGGGAGAGTGGGAAAGGAAGCCCAGAGCTGCGCTTTGCTGCTCCATGCCCTGAGAGGGCTGGCAGCACCCCATCCTGTGGGCACCCCGAGGCTGAGCTCACACTCAAGGGGGGCTTTGCCCCCACAGGCCAGCAGCATTTACAGGACTTTTGAGACTCGAAACATCCCCGTGGACCAAACCGCTCCTGGTTACTCCGTCGCAGCTCCAGGGAGGTCCGGAGCTGCGGCAGGGAGCCAGACCCCGGGAGAAAGGAGCTGGCCTGTCCCCAGGCAGGAGCTGGCAGGATGCGGCGAGGCTGGCGGCTCGGGCGCCACGCTGCTCTCCTTCCCCTTTTTTTTCTCGTCTTTTCTTCCTCTTTCTCTTCCCCCCCTGCCCCCGCCGGCCTCCCCGCCTGCTGGCCTGCCTGTCCTCTCTGGCAGCAAACCCCTTCTCGGCTGGGGAAATCCAAAAGCCACCCGGGCCTTAGTTTCTCCTTCCATTTAACAGAGCAGCAGCATCCTCCTGGGGCTGCTACATCAGAGTTGGAGGGTGTTCGGGAGAAAGCAGGGACACAAATGTGCTGTTGGCTTTTATTTTATTTTTTTGGGTGCAAAACCTGCATTTGGAGAAGCCGGGGTGTTTTCACCCATCCTGATCCCCTCCCTGTTTCGCATACAAATCAGCTGGTGGAACTGGGCCATGTCCAGGCTGAGGCTGCTGCGGGGAAACCCGAGAGCATCCCAGCGCTTCAGCAGGCGTGAGCTGCTTGCTGGGCTCCCCGCCGGTGCCTGGGGCTGGCCCCTGGCCAGGGCTGCCATGCCAACCCTGCCCAGGGCCAGGCTCCCCATGCCCACATTGGCATCAGTCCAGGTCACTCTGGGATTAGGTGCTGCGCTGGGCTGGCTTGGATGGGGTGGGGGTTTGGACCCCCATTCCTGGCTCTCCATGTGCTCTGCCAAGAGATGCTCTGCCCAGGTGTGGGTGGGCATCCTCATTTTGGCCGCAGTCCTTGCCCCTCTCAGTTCCGCACCTGGTCCCTGTGGTACCCCCTGGGTACCTGGCAGGGGATGCTGTCGGCTCCCGTTCCTGCCCTTCAGGGAGGGCAGTGGGGATGTGGTGGCTGAGAGAGGGGGGAGCTTGAGCAAGAATCCTTGGCCAAAATTAACCAAACTGGGAGCTGTGTCTCTTGGTTTCCCCAGATCCCAGTGTGGGAGAGGGCTGTCTGCATTTCAGGCTGGCAGCTCATGCAGTATAGGGGCTCCACTCCCCCCCAGACGAGGGGCAGCAGAGCAGCCCCAGGGGCACGGAGGGGCCTGGTGTCCCCCCACCCTGGCTCCCAGCCTCACCATTTCCAGCCACTTAAAAATTAAAGGAGCCAATATCACTGCACGGCTGGAATCGGTCACTGCCACAAAGCTTAATTGAGGTTATTTGTTGGCTCTAAAAATGTTTGGTCAGCTCTGCCACTGGCTGCTCGGATGCTTCCCACAGCCCCTGCCCTGAGGAGGGGGTCCCCACGGGCTCTGCTGGTGTCAGATGCTCTGCTTGGCTCTGGGCACCTGGAGGGTCCTGGGGACCCAGCCAAACCTCGCCTGGTGTCAGTGTGAGGACACAGATGGGGCCACAACGGTGTGCAGCGCCAGATCCCTTTGCTGACTGATTTTTGGGGTGGTTGCTTTGCGGGGGCGGGGGGCTGTGAACCGAGCATCTCCTGCCAGCCCAGCCGCCTGCACGCAGAGCAGCAGCTCAGTCCAGATGTTGGGCTGACGTCAGGGACGGGGTCAGCTGGATCAGGAAGCACTAACGTGGCTGCTGGCCCCGGGCACGCACCAACCTCAGAACCTCCGGGCTGCCCAGGGTGAGTGGGGTGCTGGCACTTCCCTGGGCACCAAAGGTCACAGGAAGGCTGGGGACAAAGATGGGGGGGCTCATCCTGCCAGAACCCAACAGAATCTGAAGACACACGCTAATGGAGCCAAAACAGTGTGGTTAAAAGCCCACCAGACCCCAGTCCCTGCGGGGACACTCACAGGGCTGGGACTGCCCTGCCACCGTCAAGCATTTCAGCCACCCTCATCATGTACTCGCAGCTCTGGGTGCTAGGGGGGAAATTCAGGTAAAACAGCCCCCCCCCAGCCCCCCCACCCACCGGCT